GAACCTGTCTGACAGCAGTGCAGGAACGCCTTCACCAGTAAACAAAGTAGAGACACACCATTCATGTCTTCATACATGTACTTGGGATAATGATGTCCATCTCATTCCACCATCTTTTCTAAGCTACTACCCCCTCCCTTCCCCTCCCTCCCCTTTACCCTATCTAAAGTTCCTCCATTCCTCCCATGCTTCCCCCAACCCCATCATGGATCAGCATCTTCATAACAGAGAAAGCATTCAGAATTTGGTTTTTTAGAATTAGCTTACTTCACATAGCATAATATTTTCCAACTCCATCCATTTACCTGCAAATGCCATGATTTTATTCTTTTTTACTGCTGAGTAATATTTCATTGTGTATATACCACAGTTTCTTTATCCATTCATCTACTGAAGGGCATCTAGGTTGGTTCCACAATTTAGCTATTGTGAATTGGGCTGCTATAAACATTGATGTGCTTTGTTCCTGTAGTATGCTGTTTTTAAGTCCTTTGAATATAAACCAAGGAGTTTATATATGGGTCAAATGGTGGTTTCATTCCAAGTTTTCCAAGCAATCTCCATACTGTTTTCCATATTGGTCACAGTAATTTGCAGTACCACAAGCAATGTATGAGTGTGCCTTTCTCCCCACATCCTTGTCAACACTTATTGTTATTTGTATTCTTAATAGCTGCCATTCTGACTGGAGTGAGATGAAATCTTAAGAGTAGTTTTGATTTTCATTTCTCTAATTGCTAGAGATTGAACATTTCTTCATATATTTGTTAATTGATTGTATATCCTCTTCTGAGAAGTGTCTGTTCAGGTCTTTGGCCCATTTATTGATTGGGTTATTTGTTTTTTTCATGTTTAGCTTTTTGAGTTCTTTATATACCCTAGAGATTGGTACTCTATCTGATGTGCATATGGTAAAAATTTGCTCCCATTCTGTAGGTGCTATTTACCTCACTGATTGTTTCTTTTCTTTAAAAAAAATTAAGTTTAAGGTATATCTTTGTGTATGGGGAGGTACCAGAGATTGAACTTAGGGACACTTGACCACTGAGCCACATCCCCAGCCCTATTTTGTATTTTATTTAGGACAAGATCTGACTGAGTTGCTTAGCACCTCACTTTTGCTAGACTGACTTTGAACTCACAATCCTCCTGGAGTTGCTGGGATTACAGGCATGTGCCACCTCACCCAGGTAAGAGATGTTTTGATCTTTGGAAATAAACTTAAAAGGTTTTACATTCTGACTCAGATATTTTAAAAAAAAAAATGTTTTAAGGTCTGTAGCTGTGGCTCAGGGGTAGAGTGCTTGCCTAGCAAGCACTGGGTTCGATCCTCAGCACCACATAAAAATAAATAAATAAATAAAGGTATTGTGTCCAACTACAACTATAATAATAATAATAATGGTTTTAAGATCATAAGAGCCTGGTGTGATAGCATTCATCTGTAAACCCAGCTACTCAGGAAGCCAAGGTAGGAGGATGATAAGTGTGAGGCCAGCCTGGGCAACTTAAAATTTGAAAATGTCTGATGATGTAGCTCAGTAGTAGAGCACCTGCCTAGCATATGAGAGGTCCTGGGTTCCATCTCCAGCGCTGAAAAGATTGTGAGAAATTCATGTTTATTCATATACCTCTTAATCAGCAGTAATCTAGTTTGAACCTATTAAGATGTGAAAAGCTGACTTAGAATCCCAGGTGTAAGCTCTTAACCATTCTCTGAATTCTGTCAATTTCTTCCCTAGGCCATAACCCAACTGAATAAATACAGATTTTCCTTATTTATCATGAGATTCACCCCTAACTTTATTCCTCTGCCAGAGGTCATCTGTTTTTAATGTTGTAAACTAGCCATAGTAAGCTGTTCTTTTTCTTGGAGTCTGCAAAGAGAATGGATAGACTCTTTTGTTTTTAAAGAAATAGAACACAGATATACAAACTGTATATAGAAACTGCAAACGCACAAAAAACTGGAGCCTTCAAAGTATATGGACTTGTTTCAATATGCATAGGGTACGGTCTAGTCATCCCAGCCTCCAGCTTGGTCAGCAGTTTCCAGCACTTGCAGACACCGTCAAACCCCAAAAGGGTTTCACATCCCTTATCTCACGTGATCATCATAACTACCTAGAAAGGTAGATCGGGGGTTATTCTGTCCATTTTGTGAAAGTGGAAACAGAGTCAGAGAAGACACATTACAGAGCTAGTTGATTTCGGAGACTGGACTTCAGTTCATTCTTTTCCACCGGTGACCGGGCAGCTGGGCCCTGGTCCTGATGCTGAGGTTCCTGAGCGCTGCGCCGGGGCCAAATGAGTCAGCCAATAAGGAAGCTGCATCTAGGAGGCGGGACCACGAAGCTGCCAATGATAGACCCCTCAGGGAGAAAGATGTATCAAATCAGAATCTTGTACTGAAGAGGGACGGCTGCTCGGCCAATGAGAGGCTAAGACCTGCCAGGCTGGAAGGCGGAACGGCCAGGCCGAGAGCCGAGCGCCAACCCGCGAGCGCCGGAGCTCCAGCGTGCTGCCCCGGTCGCCGCCCGCCATGGCCCGCGCTGCCCTGCTCCTCGCCAAGCTGTCCACACTCCTCGCCGCCGCCACTGCAGGCGGAGATGTCCCGCCCGGCAAAATCGGTGCGGGAAGAACGCGGTGGGGGCTATGTTGGGGACGGCTGGGCGGGAAAAGGGTTCGCAGCCGGCAGCAGCTGGCTGGGGGTAGGGGAGGGCAGCTGGGCAAGGGAGGAGACCTCAGGAGAGTAGCTGGGTGACGGAGAGGCGAGGGACTAGGACTGGGCGAAAAGGGGGACCGCAGTAAGGAAGGTTTCGATGGGGAGGGTGGGATGGGCATGTAAAGAGGGCACCTGGGACAGAAAAGAAGCGTGGGCAGGACTGGTCACTGATCTCGCCCGGAGGTGCAGGGTCACTGAGCTTCTGACATGTATGTGACTCTTGACTAGGCGTCCCTATGACAGAACAGGAACTGGATAGCATTCACAAAGGTCTATTCAGGGCTGTCTGTAGCAGGCATCGTGCTGTAGTTCCTGCTTGGACGAGAGACCTCACAATACGGGAAGTCTGTTCTAAGGTTGAGAAAGTACCGAGCACACAGAGGAAGGACTTCACCCTTCTTTGCCAGCTTGCCAGGGCTTCCTAGAAGTAACATCTAAGCCAAAACTTCCGGTCGATAGGAGACCTTTCCACGGAGACAGAACAGTAGATCGACTGGAGATAGATTTGCTAGATGAGAGAATGGGGATTCTTTTTTTTTTTTTTTCCCCACGTTGTTGATGATCTAACCCAGGGACCCCAGCGCGCTAGACAAGTGCTCTACCGCAAAGCTACACCCCCAGCCCTATAGCAGTCATTTTTCTTTGTTTATTAGTTGTGCCGTTTCTGCAATATTTCATTTGAAACTGTCAAACACAGAGCAAAGTTGAAAGAATTTTACACTGATCATGCATATGCCCACTACCTAGATTTTGCTGCTCATTGCTACTCACTTTATCTCATACTTATCACATATTCTAGCCATCTGTGAATCCATCTTACATTTTTTTTTTATGAATTCCAGTTATTCAGAGCAGGACAAGTGCCATGCCAAGCTTCCCTTTAGCTTTCTTGATTTCTTCAGTCCTGTGACAGGAGCGTCTGTCCACCCTACCCAAAAGGAGAATGAGAGCTTCCCATCAGGATGACTTAATCCTTAGGCTCCAGCTGGATCCAATCTGAACTCCTCAGAGTGGAATCTGGACCCTTCAAGCCCACCTATAAATTTCCACACGCTGCCCCTCTCATGCTGTTCTCTGCAGATGGTGCAGTTCCTCTCATTGGTCCAACTAATTGTCCTCTCAGGTCCTAGTCCAAAGTTTTTTTTGTTGTTGTTGTTGTTTTCCCTTGTATCCCCACACTCTCTCAAGCGGAATGTATAGCTCCTTCCTCAGGATTCCCTGGAGCTCTTTTGTCACACTTTGGCACAGGTTGTGATAACTGATTGCATGGATGCCCCCTGGCTACCTGGGCTCCTGGGCACAGAAGCTCTATTTGGCTCATCTTCGATTCCCAGCACATCTTACTTTAGATCTAGATAGCTGTCAGTCATGGGTGTTCAGTGAGCTGGTCCACAGTGAAGTGATGTCTTCTGCTTCTCTACACCCCTTGTGTGCCTTCTAGGCTTTGAAATTTCAGTATCTCTAGAAACCATGGGTGGTTTACAAATGAAGAGGAGGAGAAAAGAGAAGTTAAAAAAATAAATAAAAGGGGGCATTCTTGGAACTGACTTTGGGAATACTGAGAAAGAGGAAGTGGCTATTTTTTCAACATGCAACAAATACTTTATGAACTCCACTACCTGTGAGGACCTAGGGACATGGTGACCCTGTTCTCTCTGGGTCCTTAAATAGACCATTTGAATATTGTGTGGCAAGGCTAGGCCAAGGGTAAGCAGACTGTGCTGCCTGTATACACAGAAGGAAGCCCTGAGTGCATTAGGAGGGTTAGGCAAGCCAAGCTAAAGATGATAGATGTGGGCCATAGAAGTCAGCAAGGTGCAGGGTCTCAGAGGATGCCTGACAAGAGGGGAGACTCAGGCAAAGGCCAGGCTCATGCCTGAGCCTTTGGGTAAGGACATGCACTGCACAGTGGAAGAAGGCTAGACAGACAAGGAGGTGGAGTACTGGGAGAGGAGGGCAGGGAGTAGAAAGGGAAGTGGAGGCTGATTATAAGAACATGGTGTTCTCTGAAGGTTACCTGCCATTTCTTTATTTTTGTGTGTGTGTATTTATTTATTTTGTACTGGGAATTGAACCCAGGGCACTTAACCACTGAGCCACGTCCCAGCCTCCCTTTCTCTCTCTCTCTCTCTCTCTCTATATATATATATATAGAGAGAGAGAGAGAGATCTGTATCTATCTATCTATCTATCTATCTATATATATATAGAGAGAGAGAGAGGGTGTTGCTAAGTTGCTTAGGGCCCCACTAAGTTGCTGAGGCTGGCCTCAAACTTCAGATCCTCCTGCCTCAGCCTCCTGAGCCACTGGGATTACAGGCGTATGCCACCACACCCAGCTATGTGCCATTTCTTGATTAGAGATGTGGTCTTAGGATCCAACATAGGTCCAGTAAGGACAAATGATACCAGGTTTAGCTCACTTCCTTTTTGGATAGGGTTACTGGACTGTCAGGTGAGAAGAAAGCAGTATTTCCAATACATGGTGGGCACAGTCTTGGGTTAGGTGACAACCCAGTTCAATTGCTTCACGACTGGTCTACTCTTCTCAGACAGGACTATTTAATGATTAGTGTTTGTCTAGACAGTGGTTCCTGAGCACCTCTGAGCTCTGTCCAGTTTTTATCAGTGACTTAGATTACGATGCAAATGAACTTGGTTTGCAAATAACAGGAAGGCAGAGGAGGTGTAGTAAAGATGGTGAATGATAAGACCCAAAAGAGACCTCAACAAACAGTAACTATAATAAAGAGTGTCCATAGATAAGGAGCAGCCTGTCTTAGGGTACATTCCAATCTTGGCAAATACAAACATAGAAATGATTTACATGTCAGGTGGTAGGTTGGACTTAGACCAAGGGTTGGCAAACATTTTCCAGTAAAAGGCCAGAGAGCTTTGTGGTCCATTATAGTCTCCCTTGCAATTATTCAGCTCTGTCTAGCATGAAAACAACCAGACAATATATAAAAGAAAAGGCTGGGCACAGTGGCACACACTTATAGTCCCAGCACCTGGGAGGCTGACAGGGAAGAATCATTTGAGCCCACGAATCCAGGACCAGTCTAGGCAGCATAGCAAGAAAAAAAAAAGTGTGCCAATAAAACGTTATTTATAAAAACAATCACCTGCTTGGATTTAACCTGCAGGCTAGAGTCTGCCAAGCCCTAGATTCAAGAGTGATTTCCAGACATTGACCCTCCCAACAGAACTAGCCAGTAAATATTGTCACCAGTCTATACAGAAATAAGGAAAATAGGGACAATGTAATAAGTTAGGAGTAAGACTAAATTTATTCTCTTCAAACAACCCTCCTGAATTTGGAGATTCTTTCCTGCTCTTCTGCTGCTCAATTGTTTTTTCCTTTGTAACATGAGGGTATTAGAAGACTGCAGTTTTCAGCTCTGCTTGTTATTCAGACCTCTACTAAAAACTCAGGACTATGAATTTCCAGTTTGAAATGTTACAAGCCTGTGAGGTGCAGGTGCTGGGGAACCTCAGTGCAGGAGGATGCAGAGGTGTGACCCCAGGCCCTCACCCCTGTGCTCTGTCTGTCCTACCCCCACCCTCCCGCCTGCTGGCAGCGGTGGTTGGTGCTGGGATCGGGGGCTCTGCTGTGGCCCATTTCCTCCAGCAGCACTTTGGACCCCGAGTGCAGATCGACGTGTACGAGAAGGGAACTGTGGGTGGCCGCTTGGCCACCATCTCAGTCAACAAGCAGCACTACGAGAGCGGAGCAGCCTCCTTCCACTCCTTGAGCCTGCACATGCAGGACTTCGTCAAGCTACTGGGTAAGTGCCGGGTTCTGGGGCTTTAGCACCCCAGGGCTGGCAGCAGCCACCAGGCCCTTCCCAGACTGCGCAGACCTATGAGGCCCAATGGTCATATAGCCCAATCTCCTCATTTTACAGATGGAGCAGCTGAGACCAAAGAGGGGAAGGAACTTACCTGAGGTTACACAGTGAGTTAGTTTCAGAGCCGGGATTAGAACTCAGGTTTGACTCCCAGGCCAGTTTCTTTCCCTTTCAATTTGCTGCCTCTGAATTATTGTGATTCTATCAGCACCCACATGCTGGTACCTGCCAGCTATTTGGTACCTTTCTAGGTAATATGTAAGAATTACCTCACATCCTCCTTACCAGCCTGAGAGATGGGGGTTAGATCTTCCCCAAGGAAACTGAGGCTCCAGAGTTTTAAACTCACCAACTAAAAGCACACAGCTAATAAATCAGGAAGCTGGGATTCAAACCCAGCAGCATCTGTCCAAACCACAAATGTACTTATGTTTGACACAGAAATTCCACTTATCAGAAGTGAACCTACAGGTGGTTCCACAGGTGTGTGGAATGGCACACACATGAGCCGATTCATTATGGCATTGTTTGCACTAGCAAAGATTGAAAATGTCATCTCTGCCCACCCACTGGGACCTACTAATTCACAATAATGAAAACCTGATTGTGTAAGAACACAATTCAGTAGCCAGAATGGGAAGATCCTTTATACCCAGTTATAGAATAATCTCCAAGATATAATATGTTGTTAAGGTGCAGAACAGTGTGTATCATATGTGAGGTGGGGAAGGAATTAAATCATGGCTATCTGCATATTTCCAAATCCAGTGCTTTGTAGGTTGTAGAGCACTGGACAGCTTGAAGGAGCTATGGCTGTCTCCATGTTACCTTGGTGCCCAGGACCCATCTCAGCAAGCCCCGCGTCTCTCAGCCACTGGCACTCTGGGATGGTGTCTGTATTTTTCTTACATCTGAGTGGATTCCCATTTAAAAATATATAAAATGTTATATTCTTTTCCTAATTGACTAGGAAGGACAAACATTGTCCCAGTGTATTTGTGTGTAGTTTATAGACTCACAGCACAAAAGAACAAACCGTGGTGCTCCTGTTTGTTTTATTGGAACCAGGCTTTTGCATTAAGAAGGCCCTGAATTTAAGCTTAAGGCACTGCCAGGCCTCCCAGGGGAGGGGGAGTGCCTTTGAAGGGGACCTGAGGGGCTCCTGGTTTCTACAGGGCTGAGGCACCGTCGTGAGGTGGTGGGCAGGAGCGCCATCTTCGGCGGAGAGCATTTCGTCCTGGAGGAGACTGACTGGTACCTGCTGAACCTCTTCCGCCTCTGGTGGCACTATGGCATCAGTTTCCTGAGACTGCAGATGTGGGTGGAGGAGGTCATGGAGAAATTCATGAGGTAGGGCTGGGCCAAGCTGTGGGGAGGGCTTTCCAGGGGACCAAGGTGAAGAGCTCAGAAAATTAGCAGCTCAGCAGCTCAGCCACAGTGAAAAGGGAAAGGTACTGGTGGATTTAAAGGCCCAGCATGATTCAGTGCAGGCTTTTAGCAAGCCCTCATCCTGAGGAGTGGCCTCTTGGGGCAGGGCTGGTGCCTCTGGCATTGTTACTTGAGCCCATATTCTTTCCTGCTGCTAAATCGATTGGAGCATGGATTGAAATTCAGTCACCTACAAGGACCAAAGTGGGATGTGCATAAGTGAAGCCACTGGTGGAAGACAGCATGGAGCCACAGGAAGTGGGGGGTCCTGAAAAGCCAGGTCAGCAGAGGGAGGCAGTCAGCATGCTTCTGCAGTCCCCTGTGGTCAGTCACGGGAGGATGTCACCCCATGGGCTAAGTCTTCCAATTTTTCAGGAAGGAAGCTGGAAATCCAGAGTTATACACGAAGTCTCCCAGCTTTTCAATGTTTGCCACGAATTCATCTTGTAAGCCAAATTTAACAAATCTGCAGGCCATGTGCAGCCCAGGGCCACTCATTTGCAAAGTTTGCTATCCCTAGTTTTTCCATCTAGAACAAATACCTCTCTTCACCACTTCTCTCCTCCTTGGGCACCAGATCCTCCCCATCACCTTCAGATATGGAGGACAAGTGGTCTGTGTCCACTAAGTATACCATACACCAAACATCCACATAGAGTCCCCAAGGCCTCCTGCAGGCTCTCCCTGTTCCCTACCTCCTCCCCCTGCAGAGATCGTCCCTCCACCATCATCATCCCCCTCTTCAGTGTCAGATGCTCAAGCATGGCCACATGGCCCCCTTCCCTGCTCTCTGGCCCTCCCCCATCCTCTTCCATTCCATAACTACTTAGATATGGCATTTCTCCCTTATATTCTCCACATGTCCCCCACAGTTTATGTCCTTGAGTCTCATTTTTTCTTTCTTATTCTTTTCTCTCTTGTTAATTTTATTTGAACTTACAATGTTGACTTCTCCCCATTATGGGAGATGACTTCGACCTGCCAGCTCTAGTTTCCCCTTCAATTACAGACCCACATTTCCATCTGCTCTGGACACCTTTATCTTTTGTCCTGTTAGCAACCCAACACAGCATGTTTACAAAGCAGCCCTAGAATGGGCAACATTTCAAAGGCCAGCTGGTCTAGAAATCCATAGGCAGATGTTTCCAGTCCGTGCTAGCCCTTGGGATTGGGTGAATGAGCCGAACCATGTGAGCTCGAGAGTTACTGGGAGCTCTGTTGGATGAAGACAAAGGAGAGGACAGTATTGACAGGAGGCTGCTGCCATCAGGTCCAACATGGTCTTAGAAGCCAGGGCAGAGTGGAAACTAGTGGGAGACCCCGCTCCACATCCAGGGATGTATCAGTGTGGACAGGTCATGGCCACTGCCTGCAGTCCCAGTGGGGTGGGGAAAGACTGTGGACTGAACTCAGGGGAATGGGATATAATTGTATTCAACAGAATCAGGCCCAGCACAGCCAGAAAATAGGCCAAAGGGAACATAATCAGCCTCCTTTCTCAACCCTCTGGATATAGAGGAGGAGGCAGATCCCTGGTGGGCCTTCTGGGTCCACAGGTACCCAGTGGCAGGTGATCAGCCAGAAAGCCTTTCTGCAGAGGACTGCAGCTCCTTGTGTCCCCTAGGATCTACAAGTACCAGGCCCATGGCTATGCCTTTTCGGGTGTTGAGGAGCTGCTCTACTCGCTAGGAGAGTCTGCCTTTGTCAACATGACCCAGCGCTCTGTGGCCGAGTCCCTGCTTCAGGTGGGCGTCACCCAGCGCTTTATCGACGATGTTGTCTCTGCAGTACTCCGGGCCAGCTATGGACAGTCAGCATCCATGCCCGCCTTTGCCGGTGAGTGTCCAGCCCCTCAGCCTGCCCATCCGCCCTCCCCCTGCCCATAGTGCCCAGATTGAGCTGTGGTCCCCATAAGAACCTTACATTTATCCAGCTCATTACCCTTGCCTTCGTACTTGGTTGCCCAATTCTTGTTTGATTCTGGCTCATTCCTCCAAGTTGGCAAGACGGTATTCACATCACTTTATAGAAGGTAAAAGCAAAACTAAGAGGCAGGTCCATTATGTATCCACCATTTCTGATTTCCTGATAATACCTTACCGATGTGTAAATATTAGAGCTGAGGTGATATTTTGCTGTTCACAGTTTTGTTTCAAGAAGTACCCTGTTGAGGCCTCTGTGCCCCTGGCTATTGAGCCATTAGTGCACCTAATCTTCCCAGCTCCTTACTGGGGTGGGTAGGCATGTACAAACCCGCCATCCTCCTGCTTGGACCCAAGAATAAAGAACATAGGCTTCACAAGGGCAGGATTCATGCCCTCTTTTGCTCACTGATACATCCCAGATACTTAGAACAGTGCCCGGACCATGCTAGGCACTTAGTGCACTTTTGTTGAATAAGTGAATAAATAGGTGTGGATTGGCAGGCACCTCCCATGAGCCCAGGATCCTGTTTCTCTTGCTTCTTCCCAGCCTTCGGGACCTGCCTCAGTGTCCCCTCACTATTTCTCTCTCAGTCTTCTAGTACCTCGTGCATATCCTTCATAGCATATTTGTATTGAGATGTAACTTACACATGATACAATTTACCCACTTTAAAATATACAATTCCATGGTTTTTAGTACAGCTATAGAGTTGTGCAACCATTACCATAATTTTAGGGCATTTCATCACTACAGAAGAAACCCCCTACCTTTGACAACCACAAATTTCTTGTTTTTCTGGATATGCTGATTTGGGGGCATTCTTTAGCAACAGAACTGTACACCATGCAGTCTTTTGGAAATGGCTCTTTTTTTTTTTTTTTTTTTTGATGGTGCTGGGGATTGAACCCAGGTTCTTGTGCATGAGAGGCAAGCACTCTACCAACTGAGCTATATCCGCAGCCCTGGAAGTGGCTCTTTTATGTTCTCACTTCATAGCATTGTGAACTTGGCTGTATTATTTGTTTTTTATCTCCCTGTGCCCGTGGTTGGGAGGAGTCTTTCCCTGGCAGGGAGATCTAGGGAGAATAGTGCTAGCCTCTCTAGACTCACTCGCCACCCTTCTCATTTTGCCCAGGAGCCATGTCACTAGCCGGTGCCCAAGGCAGCCTGTGGTCAGTGGAAGGAGGCAACAAGCTGGTGTGTTCTGGTTTGCTGAAGCTCACCAAGGCCAATGTGATCCATGCCACAGTGACCTCTGTGACCCTGCACAGTACAGGTGAGTAAGAGGGCAGGAGGCATGGCCACACCATTCCTAGCCAGCTGCTACTCCTGCATCTCAACCCTGGGCTGTGTGCTCTGCTGGGGAGTACTCTTGAAAAAGCAGTGGGAAGCCCCATTGACGCTAGAGGGCGCTTTTGCCCTGATTCAAATGTCAGAGCCAGGAAGCTGAGTCTTCCATCAATCCAGCCTGTTCCTTTGACCAAGGAAGACTGACAGTCTTTACAGACTCTCTCAGCCAGTCAGCAGCAGAACCAGAGAAGGAACTCGGGCCCCCCTGATTCCAAATCAAGTGCTCACCCTGCAACTGTACCAGTATGAAGAGAGATGGGACAGCCCCGCTCCCTCCTTTCCCATCTTAAGGTCTGGCCCCCAGATGGGAGATCAGTGGTTAGAAGACAAGGAAAAGTTGACATTGGTGCTGTCTTCTCTTTCCTTCCAGAAGGAAAAGCCTTGTACCAGGTGGGGTACGAGAGTGAACTGGGCAGTGGATCCGACTTCTACGACATCGTGGTCATCGCCACCCCCCTGCACCTGGACAACAGCAGCAGCAACTTCACCTTTGAAGGCTTCAACCCACCCATTGATGATGTCCAGGGCTCCTTTCATCCCACTGTCGTCTCCTTGGTCCATGGCTACCTCAACTCTTCCTACTTCGGCTTCCCTGACCCAAAGCTTTTTCCCTTTGCTAACATCCTTACCACAGATTTCCCCAACTTCTTCTGCACTCTGGATAACATCTGCCCCGTCAACATCTCCTCTAGCTTCCGGAGGAAGCAGCCTCAGGAGGCAGCTGTTTGGCGAGTTCAATCTCCCAAGCCCCTCTTTCGGACCCAGCTGAAGACCCTCTTCCGTTCCTATTACTCAGTCCAGACAGCTGAGTGGCAAGCGCACCCCCTCTATGGCTCCCGCACCACCCTCCCAAGGTTCGCACTCCATGACCAACTCTTCTACCTCAACGCCCTGGAGTGGGCAGCCAGCTCTGTGGAGGTGATGGCTGTAGCTGCAAAGAATGTGGCCTTGCTAGCTTACAACCGCTGGTACCAGGACCTGGACAAGATTGACCAGAAGGATTTAATGCACAAGGTCAAGACTGAGCTGTGAGGACCTCAGGGAGAGCCCAGGAACTTCTGCACCACAGTGAAGATGGTCACACCCCACGGCAGCCCAGGACCAACAGCCACATTCCCTGACAAGCTGCTCTTTTGACCCCTAATGTATTTTTTCCCTCCAGTGTGGGTCCAGGTGATCCACCGCCTGCCTATCTATCTTAAGGACCTTTACAGTGGTTGCGTGTTTTGAGGGAGAGGATAACAAAAGGGAAGGGAATTCAAGCCAGTGTACTTGTCTTATTTATTTATTATTTTTTAAGGAGAAATAAAAAATCATCTTCTCAAGCTGCTTCTAACTTGGTTTTCTAGCTAGGAACCAGGATGACTATGGAATGTAAGGCAGAAAACTCTTGAGTATGAATTTTTTTAATTCCACTACCTAGTCCCAAAATGTACAATCAATTGAGGCAACCTACAGTAAAACATTTACAACCCAGTAGTTACTGGAGAATAGAAGGGAAGATCAGAAAACCTAAGAAATTATAATAGCTCCTGTTTGCTCTGGGCTTGATGGATGGGAAGTACCTAGTTCAGAATTTTCTTAGATACCATCTCCAAGCCTCTCAACAACACTGCACATTTTAGGAGATGGCTGTTAGGACATGAAGAAGAGATGTTTACCCCAGCACTGCCACTGGTATAGCTCTGAGCTTCCTGGCAACCAGTGGGAAAAGAAACAAACTAAGCTATAGGAAGAGGGAAGCTTTTCCTTGGTATCTGTAGGAACTGAGCATTCTGATTTTTATGCAAGGGTTCAAGGGTATTATGACATCTGCTTGCAAAGAAGAGAAGTCCTCAGATGGTGGAGGGCAGATATTCCTCACTCCCAAACCTTCATCTCAGCAGAGGAAAAGAAGGTTATAGGACAGAGTTGTTCAGAGATTAATCTGGTACTTTCCCCTCTAACTTCAGAGGTCAGGACAATTGTGCTTTGCCTTTTCTACAAATCAGTAGAGTTTTGTGTGGTTTTTTGTTTGTTTGTTGTTGTTGTTTTGGTTTGGTTTTTGGTTTTTTGGTGTGGTGGGGGTGGGGGAGAGACTGGGGATTGAACCCAGAGGCACTCAACCACTGAGCCACATCCCCAGCCTTTTTAAAATATTTTATTTAGAGACAGGGTCTCACTAAATTGCTTAGGGCCTGGCTAAGTTGCTGAGACTGGCTTTGAACTCGTGATCTTCCTACCTCAGTCTCCTGAGCCACTGGGATTATAGGCATGTGCCACCATGCCTGGGTTTCTTGCTTTTTTGAGAAAGTAAAATCTTCTTTATTCTCTTTGGATCAGTGTCTTTCTGTAAAAGGAAGAGAATGTAGGAATGGAGCCCTAGGCACCCTGCAAGCATGGTCCATGGGCCAACCACCACATCTGAATCTCCTGGAGAAGGGAAGGGAGCTTGGCAAGGTGTCCCACCCAGACTTGCTAAACCAGGCTTCAGGGAGAAGCCTGGGTGCCCAAAGGAAACATCTCTGCCAAATGATGCTATGTTAATACTGTGGCTTTCCTAACAGAAACAGTCCCCAGAGGTCATCCAGCTAACTTTCCTCTCTTTGCAGAAACGAAGATAAAAGCCCAAAGTGAGAAAGTAACTTGTCATGGTCTCCTTGGACACAGAACAACTCAAATCTGAACTTTGTCCTGTTAATTGAGTTCAACATGGGGCAAAATACCATTCCAGATGAGGTGCCCAAACTGGCTGTGAGGTTGTTTCCACTATGTTCAGGATGGTGGTAATGGCAGTGAAAGAGATGGAGCCTTTAAAGTAAAAGTGGCATTCATTCATTGCTTATTACAGACATCATGACACCTCACTAAGAAGGCTTTGGTTGAAGTAGTAAATACTGAACTCAAACTCTGAAGCAATAAAGATGGTATTGGGTATGACTTGAATGGCAGGCACACAGAACTGCTATCCCCAGCCCTGTTACTTCTCTCACAGCCCAAGATGGCTGCTGGCAGCTCCCCAGGTGAAAAGTTCTTTTTCTACAACCACTAAACCCAATTCCAGGCTCTGGGCCAGTTGGACCACCCCTGAACCAATTCCTGTGGCCAGGGGAGTGCCACATGCTGATTGGCTTAGGACCTAGATACCAGACCATTCATTGTGACACAGGAGATTAAATTAAGCTGAATCTGAATGTTTATTATCCGAGTGTTTGGGTTTGAGGGAGGAAGAGAGCCACAATGTCAGCCACATGCTGACATCTTGAGTCCAGTGATATGGCATCTTTTTGTTTTGTTTTGGTAACGGAGATTGAATTCAGGGGTACTCAACCACTGGGCCACATCCCCAGCCCTATTTTGTGTTTTACTTAGAGACAGGGTCTCACTGAGTTGCTTAGCACCTCAATGTTGCTGAGGCTGGCTTTGAACTTGCGATTCTTCTGTCTCAGCCTCCCAAGCCGCTGAGATTACAGGCATGCAAACACCGTGCCCGGCTGACATGGCATTTTGTGATGGCCTTTGCTTGAAAAGAAGATGGCGTAAACTGTCATGATGTAATTGATAACTGGTATCGGGCCAGAGGAAACACAAAACATATCCCTAATAATCACCCTTCCCTTGTGTCCCTAGGGAAGTACGTGCACAGACAATACAAATGGGGACAGTTACATGTGATCCTCAGTCCTCAGATGGGGCTTTGGCTGCCTGCCCAAGCACGACTGCAGTGGAACTGGCTGTCCTTCAGAAATCTCCTTCACCTGAGAGGCAGGACCAGACAATTCAGAACCTAAGTCAGCCAAAATACCCACGCTGCCTGCTTCCCCAAGCCCAGGCCTGAAAGTTGGATCTCCTATCTCCCTTCCTTGCATACAAGGAAGAAAAGACAGATTCCAGAAAGGGGAACAAGAACCAACAACAAGTCTTTGTCCCAGGGCACCCCACCATCAGCAGCAGCCTTCTCATACCAGAATAGAAGCCCCCAAAGGCCCACAGACTCCTGGGGGAAAAAATAGAGCATTTGTAGAGAGCCCTCATCCTCAGTAGTCTCTGGTGTGTGTAGTGTACTTTGCATTTAAAACCCTGCACAAGAACTCCCCCTCCTAGAGCTGGTGACCTAAGCAACATTTCAGCACTCTGTGGGAAGCAAGGGACCACTGTACTGTGTGAAGGGTAGAATTGGGGGGGTGCAAGTAGAGAGGTAAGGGACACCTTTGTGTTCCAACCATCACCAACCATCACCAAGAAGCCCTTGAGGGAGCTAGCTGCAGATCTTGGGCTCCCCCTGGAGGCCTCTATGCATTAATTCTCCAAGCGCTGCACCCCTATTGTGCTCTGGGCACTGTGGAGTTGGGGAGCGTGTTGGAGGTGCAACATTGAACAGGCAAGTGAATTGCCCACCTCATGGAGCGGAAGTTTCTCACTAGCAAGTGGAGAAACAGGAAGCACATTTTAGACTCAGTCCAATGAAAGTTCTGGAGTGCCTGGTGGATCTAGTTCTCTGAGTTCCCTACTGCTGCCTTTAAACCAGGAACTGGTTTTAAAGCTCATGATGCCAGACTTCTAAGTTGCAGAATGGGAAAAAAAAAAAAAAAAAAAACCTGGAAATCCCTAAATCCCATCCATTCATTCACGGATGAGGAACCAGAAGCCCCCAAACATGTAAAGGTTATCATCCATGTATAACGGGCATTTTTGAGCATCTCCATATTTCTGATGCTCTAGTGGAGGATAGGTCCTCACCAGGAAAAAGGGACTTCCTTCCCAAATCCCTATATCCCTAGGCTACCTTGGTCTCCCAGGACTAAAAAGCAACCCCGCTGGAGCTCAGCTCTTCCCACACCCTCACCCTACCCCCAAAAGGCCTTGGAATCTTGTGCCTTTCATGTGGGGCTGAAGTCTTAAGACCTGGAATACACAGGACTGGGAGTGGGGCATAGGACCAGGGATGAAGCTCAGTGATAGAGTAATGCTTTAGCATGCGTGAGGCCCTGGGTCCGAACACCAGTAGGAAGAAGGAGGAGGAGGAGGAGGAAAGAAAAGAAAAAAAAAAGAGCCATCTATGGGGGCCTTAGAGTCAAGCAACCCCAAGGAAGGAGACAAGTCTGCTGAAGGGATCGGCTCAGCTGGCACATGAAATCTATTTTCCATGTGTCTGGAACCAGGCCTAAGCTTCCTGGAGTAATTTTAACCAGTATCCACTCTAGAACAATACCAAAAAAGGTAAGTTACTTACCACCCCAGACAGACACATACCTAACCATTTGGTTTTTCATGAGTTCGACCCTTGAAAACACTCAGTACTGGGGCTACTTTAAGCAGTAAAGCTAGGAAGCCAAGGACAGGATTCCTACAGAGGCTGTTGGTCTTTACACTGAAGTTAATTCTAAAGTGCTAACTCTTCTTACCCTCAGAAAATAGCTCAAGCCCCTCAGCTGTCTCTGAGGGAGAGTATTTTTAGACACTTGGACAGCTGAGTTGGGATTTGCTGCAGGGGTTAGAGGGCCAGGGGGAGGATTGAATTGCTAGGGGCTAAAGGGGGAAACATGGGGTTAGCTGGAGGGGCAAGAGCCAGCATGGGCAAGGAGGGCCATGCCACCTTTTTTGATCAGTAAAGTGTCTTGATAAAAGCCAGGGGTTCGCAAAGTGTGTTCCCAGACCAGAGGCAGCAGCAGCACCTGGAAACCACTATACTATAAAGAAAAAGAAACCACTGCATAAAAATGAAAAATATCCAGTCCCCACCTAAATCAGGACCTCTAGGTGTGGAGCCCAACAGTCTGCTTCAACAAGCCTTCCAGGGGATTCTGAGACTTGCGAACGTTTGAGAACAGCAAACTGTCTAACCGAATGTGATGTGGACAGAGCTGGGTGAAAGAATGACCCGCATTGACTCCGCCCCACTCCTGACAGTTTCTTCAAAGCCAGGGATCCCAGCCCAGACAACAGTATAGACACACATGAAAATTTTAAGGGGTCACTGGCCCATGTTGAAAATGCCTAGTCTGTGGCAACCTGAAGGCACTTTGGGGGGCCTAAGTCTGATCTGCAGAGAAATCTCAGAACTGAGAGATATCTTATGAATCATCTACTATAACCAGGCAAGGACTGGCCTCCCAACCTCCTTGAGAGGCTCAGCCCTAGCTTGACGCTTCCAGGGTGCAGAGCTCACCACTTCAAAATAGTCATTTTTCAGGATCCTGAGTGACTTGGATAGAATCAGCTATTAATTCCCATATGGGTTTATGTCTACCAAGTTTCAATAATATGGGTGGAATACAGGCTTATAATCCTGAAAGGAGCATGTTACTGTCCTAAGTGATAGAGATGAAGGCAGTTTTGTTGTTGTTGTTGTTTTGTGTTTTGTTGTGGGTTTTTTGTTTTGTTTTGTTTTTAATACTGGTGACTGAACCCAAGGAACACTTTACCACTAAGCTTTATCCCCAGAACTCAATTTTTTTTTTTTTTTTTTTTTTTTTTTGAGGCAGGGTCTGGCTGAGTTGCTTAGACCTTGCTGAATTGCTGAGGCTGGCTGGTACTTGGGATCCTCCTGCCTCAGCCTCAGATTACAGGCAAGTGCCACCAGGTCCAGCTTGAATGAAGTGTTTAATAGCTTATCTCAGAGTTAAAGGAGTCAGAGTGACGGAAAATCCTCCTTTATACTGAATGGAAGTGAGCCTCCGGGGATGGCCAAGCCCCATCCCACTTTGGGCTTCAGAGCCGCAAGCAGCAAACCCAAAGTCTTGCTTTACAGAGGACAGCATTTACTTTTCATCAGCCTTGCAGTCGCGGGGTGCAGGGAGGCGGACTTCAGCAGCCGGCCTGCCTTCTGATGCCGAAGGTTCAGAAGATGCAGGTGCAGCCTACGGCTATGGTCTCCATGACCGCGCGCTGGCGACAGGGCCCGGTTCGCGGCGGTGGCGGGCAGAGGCGCCGGCGCACGGGCACTTGGCTGAACACCGGCACGCTCACCATGCTGCGGTCCTCCTGCATGGTGAAGGGGTTCACGCAGCCCAGACACAGGCAACGGGCCTCGGGCAGGTCCGCGGGGATGCGGCTGGGGTCGTGGTTGATGCTGCGGGGAGCGAGCAGGCAGAGCTCAAGGTGAAGGTGCGGTCACAAAAGAGCAAACGATGTCCCTCCCCAAGCCCCCACCTTCGCTTTTGGTTGTTGCTGCTTTTTGTTTGTTTAGGTAGTAAGGATTGAACCCAGGGGTGCTTTGCCACTGAACTACATCCCCAGCCCTTTATTTTATTTTTAATTTTGAGACAAGGACTTGCCAAATTGCTGAGGCTAGCCTTGAACATGCAATCCTCCTGTCTCAGCCTCAGTCGCTGAAATTAAAAGCTGCTGCTGTGCCGGCCTGGCCCTAACCAAAGTTTTGATTTCTACAGCAAGACTGTGCTGCGCTGGAAGGAAGCGTGGTAATCAACTCATGTTTCTGGTGAGGAAAATGGAGATGCCATCAGGAAGGAAGGCAAGCCTCGGTCCTAGAAGCTATCCAGGTTAAGGTCACCAGTCACCGGCTTCCTTCTATCCAGCAAGATGCCCATCCCTGTACTATAGTGTGCTGTGAGTACAACAGAGAGGCCTAAGAGCCCTCCTCTGCTTCCCCACCCTATTTTTATATTTGGGAGGAACTTACAGAAATAAAATGGGAACCCATTGATGTGACTTTCCAGCAGAAGAGAAGTCAAGGCAGCTGAGTACACTTTAGGCTCCGTCTCCACTCATTTAACACATTTTACAGATTCACCATGTGAGCAATTCTGTCCTGAGCTTTTAAAATATTTGTTGAATAAAACAGATGAGCCCCTTCCTGGTGCTCTCATGGAACCTAGAGGAACTTGCTGGAACTTTCTTTCCTCTGTACCTTAGTTGTTGCCTTCATTAAGCGGGGATGGGGGATGGGTGAACTAGACCTATGAACATTTGGCACCAGCATCACCTTATTATGCTTGGGACATTGTTAGAAACACGGAACCCCTTGAACCAGAGCCTGCATTTCTACAAGCTCCCTGATTGGTTCATGGGCCCAGTAAATTGAGGGAAGCCAGACTCTGGAGGATCCTTACGTCCTGCCCAATAGTCCCATTCCAGGATTGCCCTGTCCGATACTGTAGCCAGTGGCCACAGTACATTGGCTATAATGTATTGCACTGTCCAATACTGTAGCCACTGGCCACAGTACAATGTATGGCCAACATACATTGACATTAATCAAAATTAGTTCTTCAGTCTCATTGGCCACATTTCAATTGCTCAATAGCCACCTGAGGCCAGTGGCTACCATATATGAGATTTTTTTTACCATCACTGAAGTCCAGAGTGCTATCCTGGGGTCTCAGGAGATAAACCATGTGACTGAATGGAGGACTCTTGAGGACCAGCCTGTTTCTTTATTTTCACTCAATACCTTTACAGTGGTCCCTTCCATGTGCAATCTCTGAGCTGGGGAGTGAAGCTCTATCCACGGTAAGAACCCAGGGCAGCAGGGTGGATTCCCGAGTCAAAACCTGGCTGTGCGTCGTACTCTATGTAGATAAATATTCTGGCCTGAGTCCCGGACACTGTGACAGGCTGGGGCATGGAAACCCTTAGGTGATCCTGGTGCAGGCATTAGGGAGGTCCCCGTTTGGCATGAGAGGTAGGCGTGAGCCCAGCCACCAACATGGCCACTGACAGTTGTGCGCCAGGCACTAGGCTGCTGGACAAAGTGACACTTGGGGAAGGCCTTGCAGGCACTTCAGCTGGGACAGTAAGGGCAGTGCTCTGCATGGATATACATATAATAAGCCTGCAAAGTGAGTGCTACTATCATCTCTGCTACAGTTGGGGAAACTGAGCCCTGGAAAGACTAGAACTGGGCCAAAGCCTCACAGCGGGTGAGGGGCAGAGCCAGGTTCAAACCCAGACTGCCGACTTCTGAACCCAAAGTTCTGACCGTTTCAATGACTGGGGTTGGCAAAGGCCCCCACCCTCCAATAGAAATCTGGCCTGCCACTGCCGCCACCTACCTGTAGCCCCAGGGAGACAGGCTCCTCTTGTTGGACAGCCACAGCTGCAGGTCCACCTCACACTTCCTCTTGGCTGGCTCCGAGCTGTTTCTGAGCTGGGCCACCATCTCTCCAAGGTTCCTCTCGTACTCCTCCATACGAGCATAGGGCTTCACCCGGGACACCAGGTCAAGTGGCATCTGGTGAGGCCCAGGCGCCAGGGTCCCAGGCCGTCCTTGCCCTTTCCTCTTGCCTTTGGGGTTCCTAGGCTGGCCCAGCCCCAGAAAGATGGAGATGACCAGAAGGAGAAGCTGGGGAGGAAGGCCACTGGTCAACCCTGGGAGTACCATGTCTCTCTGGGGCAAGACTCAGGGCCCAGGGAGCAGAGATGGAAGAAGAAAGGCTTCTGCAATGGGCCCCCTTCACCTACCACGCCCTGGCCTGGTCCCATGTTTGCGGGTGCTTGCTGTGCACCCCATCCCGTGATGGGCACCAGTCACACCTCCCCCCATCTTGAAGTCCTAAAAATAGGGCACCTCGCAAAAATCTTCCCACCCATCCATTCTATTTGCAGCACTGTCCGGGCTTCCAGGACAGCTCCACAGCCCCCTAGCTGGGCTTCCCAAACCCCCTCTGGTTCTTCCAACCAATTCTCCCCACACTGTGGCCAAGGACAGCTGTTTAAAATGCAAATTTAGTAATGTCACCTCCCACTAGCACCATTCCCATTGCCCTTAGGAACCCCCAGGCCCCTCTCGGCTTCCTCTCATATTCGTGCTCCAGCCCCAGTCTTCCATTTCTTGTTCTGGCCTCGTTCCCTCCTGCCACAGGCACTTTGCACAGGCCTCTGTCTACAGAGTTCTGCCTCTTCCCTTCACCTTCTAAACCCCTTTGCACCCTCACATGTGGGACCTAGTGTCACCGCCTCAGGGATGCCTCTGGACTTCCTTGGCTCTCATAATCCATGAGTCACTTGCATGACTGTCATCTGACAATTGTATGTGTGACATTTTTATATGTTGGGCCTCCACTGAGCACAGACTCTCCAAGGCACTATGTCAGTCTGGTCCTTTGCATCTGTGGTGCTAGGAACTCAGGTATGAGTGAATGGATGACACCACCAACCCTGCCCTGGGTGACAGTCCTGGAGGGAAAACAATGCTAGTGTCAAGTGGAGGATCCAGCCTGTGCAGAGGTGGCTGGAGAAAAGCAGGGCTCCTCTCAGCTTGTGCCAGAGCAGCAGGCCCATCAAGCTTTCCTGGGCAGGGGACTCAGGGGAGGCTTGTGACATGGGCAGAGCGAGTCTCAGTCTTCCAGGGAGGGGAGCACGAGAGAGGTCTGAGCTGGTTAAGAGCTTTGCTGAAAGGAAACAGGCTAAAGGAGAGTGGGTGGGAGGAAGGGGGCAGGGGTGAACTGGGGGAGATGCGCCAGTCCCAGGCTAGGGCTCCCAAGGGCCTCTTCTCAAGGACCCCTGTGTGACCGGCCCTGCCCCGCCCCACTCATGGCCACCCTGGCCTTCTGCTGCCCACTTTCCCTCCCCAGGACCAGCACGTCAGGAAAGCCTGTCTCACGTGGAAGAACCAGGCTCCCCTGGAGGCCAGGGAGAAACAGGCCCTGGGAACCTGGGTGGGGCGCAGAGCTTCCAGAATAGACTGACTTCTAGGGAGTCTCGGCCCTGAATCTAGCCAGGCCCCACACATTCCCTGCAGCCCTCCCCCAGCCCACAGGATCCAGGTCAGATTTGCCCAGGCTACCCAACAAGGCTTGACCCTGGGGAACAAGTCTCAGCACAGGCCCTCTTGGGGGACCCATTCCCTGGCACAAAATCTGCAAAAGAGGTTCAAGTCACTATATTCTTCTTTTTGGTTCTAGATTCTAGAGCAGAAAAATGTTTCTCTCGTCTGAGCTCCTCGCGTGGCATTCTTAACTCTGGCTGTCCACCCAGAGAAACCCAGAGGAGACCCAAGGTCCCCCTCCCTCACTTTCCAGATGGGAAACAGAAACAGAAGGACTTGCCCAAGGTCACACAGCTCCCCTGGATCCCAGGCCTGGAAAAAACCCCAGTGACTGAGTTTGCCAGGATCTCCCCAGATGCCCCTGCCTGAAAGAGCGTCAGTGTGGAGGGGCCGAACCCTAAGCAGGAGTCGGAGTGGCCAGCCATGCCTGCAGGCTCTGAGACCAGCTCTGTTTCTCTCTCGTCCTGGAGGGGAGGACAGAGGGAGAGCTCACCTCCACAGAGTCCAAGCCAAACACAGGCAGTCATTAATCAATAGGAAAGAAATACTAAAGCACTCAGGCCCTACGGGGTGGGGGTGGGGCTGGGAGCGCCACGTACCAGATTGTGTGGCCAGTCCATCCCGGGCCGTCGGCGGCCTGCAGCTGCTGCCCGCCTGGAACCCCAGATGCCGCTGTGGAGAGAATGGCAGCAACAGGACGGAGCGCAGCAATTATAGCTCTACAGGGGGCTGCTGGGGGAGTGGGTGGGTGGGCTCATCATCAGCTGGAGCCTTGGGCCCCCAGCTGGCTGGGTCTAGCGCAGGGCAGGCGGTGAGGTGTGTGGGGGGCAGGCCAGGCACTGGGCTGAGGTGCCCAGGGGCTGTTGACCAAGGGACAATGCCCTGTGTGTCTGGCGGGGCTCTGGCTGGTGGCACCTCCGCCTGTGGCCTGCGGCTGGCCGCCCGGCCAGCACCCACAAGGCCAGCTAAGACAATCAGCTTCGTTTGCTTTGGGGATGGCAAGGGGGTGAGGGTGGAGGAGGGATGGGCTGCCGGTTGGTCAAGAGAGCAAATGTTCTCAGAGAGAGTGCTGGCCCTACCTCCCCGGGAAACCGTCCCAGGCTCTCAGCCTCTGCCAGCCTCGGATGTCGGGGAAACTGAGGCCTGCTCAAAGAAGGGATCTGCCCAGTGTCACACGGTGAGTTGGAGGAAATAAGCTGGGGTTTGTGCCTGGTTCTGGTCTGGAACTCTATCCCTCACCCCATGCTGTTTGGGGATGTTTTCTGCACAACTCCAGCCTGTTGTGAATGTGTTTCTGAGCCTGGGTGCTTCGCTCAGGCCGGTGGCAGATCCACAAGGACTTTATGGTTGATCAACTGGCCTTCCTAATGCAGCACTCCCCTCACATGTGCAAGGTCTCTACTCCTGGGCCTTCCCTGTGTGGCTGCTTGGGAGGCCCCCTTCTCTCTCAACCTTTTCTGTAAAATGGGAGTTATGCCCAGGAAGAGACAGTGACCTGGAGATTCCTCCTTGATATCTTTCTGAGCCTCAGTTCCCACATCTCTGAAATGGGAATAATCGTAGCATCCAGCCCTTGAGGCTTCCAGAAGGAATAAATGAAATGATCCATGTTAAATAGCTGGCACAGAGCCTGGCACATAGTAAGTGCTCAATAAAAAATATTTTTAAAAAATATTTTAGTTGTAGATGTATCTTTATTTTATTTGTTTTTATTTTTTATGTGGTGCCAGGGATCGAACCCAGTGCCTCACGCATGTTAGGCAAACGCTCTACCACTGAGCCACAACCCGGGCCCCTCAATGAAAATTTTATTATAAAGTGATTTTATAAACATTAGCTCTTCTGATTAGCATTAGAGCTGACATGGTTTTTATTACTTGACCAACAGCCTTCTGTCCCTGAGGCCCACCCTCTTGGCTGAGAGAGCTCAAGCCCTCCCAGACTCAGGCCACAATTTCATGAGCTCAGGTGACCCCAGAGTCCCCAGGTCCTGGACTCACATGCCAAGGTCTCTCACCTGGAGGGAACAGGCCAGCCGAATGTGAGCGAGCAAGAGAACCCACACAGAGAGGCGTGGGGGGCGGCGAAGAGCAGGGGAGGGCTGCCGGGGCAGACCGCCAGCACTGCCCTGTCTTGCTGAGGACTCATCTTGGCCATTTACAGGAATTGGCAAGGGGAAGAAGGCAGGACGAGAAGCGCTCCTGAATGTCACAAGATTAATCTGTCCAGGGCAGGTTTCCACAGCATAACTGAGAAGCTGGCTGGGGCTCGAGCCCTTCGAGAGATACCACCATATTTGGTCAAATACTAGACAGGGCTGTGTTCTGCCGCTGGAAACTCCAGAGGGAGGGGGATTCTGAAAGCATCTCCTTGGGCAACAAGGGCCACCCACCCCAGCCCTGGCTGTCCCAACCCCTCTGCCACTGTCCTTTGGGCAAGTGAAAGGACCAGGCTGAGGAGACCAATGGGCCATCCTGGTTGTATTCTTTACTACCCTTCTCAGGGCCCCGTGAGCATGCAGCTCCGAGACCCTCCCGGGTCCACGTAAGGGTAGGGAAATTGAAAGATAGGGGTTGCTCTGCGTTTCATGACCCCTGAAGCCCCCGTCTCCTTACCTGCTGGCATACACAGCCCTTACTTCTGCCTTCCAAAGCCAGGACCCAGCAGCCTCCCCAGCGGCCAGCTGCAGTGTTAATGTTCATAGAGATTCCAGGGTCGCAGCCCTGGAGAGTCTGACGTAGGAGACCCAGGAATCTGCACTTCACCCTGAGCCTGGTCTGGGAGCTCCAGGAATCCTCACCCTTCATCCAGCCCCTGCTGCCCACTACAAGTGGGAAGGCCTTGCCCAGGATCACACCGTGTGCTGTGCACAGCTGGGTGCAGACTCGTCTGCTCATTTTATTCACTGTTCCCCCCTCTCAAGTTCATATCAAAGCCCTGGGCCAGACTTGCTGGTCTAGAGGGGGCCAGTCCTTCGGGGGGCACAGACCCCTCATCATGGGTTCCCAGACAGGTGCCCAGGACTATCGTTGGACTTCTGAGTCCTGGGCCATCGCAGGCCAGGGAAGAGCCTTCCTTCAGCCTTGGCTTTGAGAAACCACTGAAGGATCATCTTCCCTTAGAGAGGTCCTGAGTGGGAACATTGGCAGGCCATGGGACCCAGCCCCAGAGGCCAGTGCCAGGCCTCACATGGGAGGCCAGACTCCTTGCTCTTGAGGCACAGGAGGTGGACAGCACCTGCCAGGGAAGAACGGTGGTGAATGGGTGGGCAGTGGGTGTTCCTGAGAGACTGTTTTGCTGGAAACCTCACCAAGAGCAGTGCAGCACTCACCACCAGGTGGCGCCACCAGAAAGCCAGACAGTCCCAAAGAGAGCTGCAAACCCTGATGGGACTTTCAAGCCAGCCACCCCTCCCCTGTAGCCTGGAGTGGGCCCTGGAGCTGAAAATGAGGTGAGCTAGAGGGTAGGGGCCCTGTGCCTGCCTCTGGCTTCCTAGGGGTCCTTCTGCAGATGAGGACCAGTTCCCACGTCGGAGCAGGAAGGACCCGGCCAGCCAGGGTGCTTGCTGAGTGAGTAATCCTCTTTACTTTGAGCACCTACTATGTGCTAGGTGCTCAGTATTTGGCACTTGCACACTGTGATCTCCAGAAAATAACAGCTAGCAATGATAACCGTTGCTGCTTAACATCCATCTACTGTCTGCCAGGCCAGAGCTGACTCCTTCATGTGTGTTCTCTCTAAATCCTCCCCATGGCTCTGTCAGGGGACCGGTCTTAGTTCATCCCACAGTTATGACTTGGGTTGGAAACTGAGGTTCAGAAGCTTACTTAATCACTTGCCCAAAAAGTCCCAGAATATGCAAGGCAAGTTTGACCCTGCACATGTCATTCCCTGCTGTGGGCACTGCCGCCAGAGAGCAGGATGACCCACTGGTTCGCTGGCCCGTGAGGATGATCAACCTCACACCAACATCCTCCAACACCCTTGGCCTCACCAAGCCCAAGGCCAAGTTAGAGTCCTGGGGAGTGGAGGGGAGTCTGACAGCTCCCAGACTGTGGACGCCACAGCCACAGCCTTTCTGGCATGTGGAAAGGACTCACTAAATACTTGGTACATTCAATCAAACCAGCTCTAATACCAGAGGATGATGCTGGGATGACAGGGGAGAGGCCAGAGCAGTGGAAGCTCAGAGGAGAAGGTGCAGCCCTGGTGGAGGTGTGGAGGTACTCAGCATCCTCAGGTTAACAGACCTGAGTCTCAGTACTGTTCCTACCCCCTTCACAGCTGTGTGACCTTGGGAAAATTAGTCCACTTCTCTCTTCTGCTCAGTGGAGTTAATAACGACATGGTTCTTGGGGCTGGGGATGTAGCTCAGAGGTAGAGCACCTGCCTGATGTATGTGAGGTTCAATCCCCAGCACCACCAAAAAAAAAAAAAATGCAAATAATCACAACTTGTTTCTCAGTTGATTACTGCAAAGGTCCAATGAGATGATGCATGTTCAAGGACCTGGCAAAAGTGAGTGCGCACTTCAATGGTGGCCTTGTCAGTAGCCTTTGAGGATGCTTCTGAAGGGTAGGATGCTTCCTAAGTAGGAAGGGCATTATGAGATAGGTATGGAGGAGGCTAAATGGAAGAATGCAGATACCTCTATTTGGTGGGCCCACCCTAGAGCTCAGCTAGGCTAGGAGGACCTGAGGGTGTGGGTGTAAACCTTGCCCAGTGGACCCAGTAAGGTTGAGGAGGCAGAAGCCAACTAGCAGACGCATTTTGCTGGCTGTGGTCAGGAAGGCGCATCCCCCAGGAGGTCCTGGCTCCTCTGCCCCGCTGCCCACCCTCCCTCCCTGTAGAAGTCCTTCTTCCAGGCCCATATTTGCACAAATGCCTGCCTCACTGCTCACTCGAGAGCCCCAGCCAAGAGGGGCTATTTTAAGCTCCCTGGACGGGAACACTGTTGGTGGGAACAGTCCCAGCCAGCAAGCTCCCAGTTCTCAAAAAAGGGAAAGGCCTGGGTGAATGGGCGGCCCCTGAGATGTGCCGAGGGGCTGCCACAGCGGTGGGATCCTGTGGCAGGGCCAGGCGCAGGGGAAAGTCAAGAAGCGGGAGATGGGGTGGGGCTCTCTGGTGATGGTGCTGAGACCACCCTTCTGCCCATATCCCGCCGCGAAGACACCAAGTGCTTGGGGTTGCAGACTGACCCAACACTGGACCAAGTGCACCATTAACACTCCTCACCACAGCTGTCAGCCCCTCCTCTCACTGGGTGGGTCTGTGCCTAATTGGGGTAGGAGGCCCCACTTTCCATCAGAAGGACAAAAAGGGACCACAGACCACCAGAGGCAGGAGATGCCTCATGCAGGCCCACCCAGGGCAGGAATCCCTCTGAAAGGTCTTTGCTCGGTACCTCCCTTCAGGCTGGGGAGATCAGTTCTCTCTAGAACACGCATTTCATTTTTACATAAAGGTACTTAATGTTTGACCAGTTCAGGCTGTTTTTATTATGATTTGGCTTGGTTTTATGTGTGCCTGTGTTTGTGGTGTGGTACTCGGGTGGGCATAGGTGCTATTTTTGTTCTTTGATTTTGTGAAGAGCCTGTTTAGACTAATATTTAAAGGACAG